TTTCTAATTGAGATATGATGCTAGAGGTAGGCGGGGCTTCACAGGGTTGCAGAAAAGTGTTGCGGCAATTCGGTTGACGGCTTACGAGGAGTCAACTGATTCTATTGAAGATTATCTGAAAACGTCTAAAAAAAACTTCAAGAGAAAGTTTATATAGATTTTTCGGCCCGTGTTGTTGAAATATTCGGTGGTATTTATTTGCATAAACCTTTGTTGCATGATATACAACAGCTATATGCAGCACATGAAGAGAGTCATGGTTTTCTTGGTATGATTGAAAGCATTGTTTTCACACATTGAGATTGGAGAAATTGTCCCCATTGGTGTAGAGGTAGTTTGCAAGTGGTCATCATGGAACACATTCGTTTGTATTAGAGGTTGTTTCTCAAGATTTGTGGATTTGACATGCTTTTTTCGGTATTGCGGGTTCCAACAACGACATCAATATTTTTGATTAGTCATCAATATTTAATGATATTTTGAAAGGTACCACATGCTCCTTTCAAAGTGAATGTAAAGGAATATAAGTTTTTGTATTACCTTACGGATGGAATATTCCCTACGTATTCCACATTCGTGAAGGACGTCCGACACCCAATGGAACGAAGAGAAAAATTCCTCAAGAGAAAACATGAGGCAGCACGTAAGGATGTGAAACGTGCTTTTAGAGTTCTAAAGTCGAAGTGACATATATCAGGACATACGACACGTCCATATGAGATATAAACTCAACGATATATTATGTATGCATGTATCATAATGCATAATATGATAATGGAAGATAAAGGGTGAAATATTGCACAATATATGCCAACGGAGCCCCGACACATGCAGTTTGTACCATGTTCAACAAAATATTTGCATAGAGTCGTTGATATTCAAGACGCGCAAAAAACACGAGCAACTTCGACAAGACTTGACGGATCATATCTATGATGCTAACAATGATGAAGAACAATGTATTTAGAAAAAAAAATATGTAATTTATTTTCATGTTATGTTTTATAAAATTGTTTTTTTATAAAATTATGTAATTTGTTTTTAAAATTACCAAAAAAATGACATAAAAAGAACTCGAAAAAAATGACATGAAAATTATTTTAGTGTGGTGGTGTGGTAACCATTTACTAGCTAAAATCGTGTGGTGTGGACAGTGCCCTGGGCATGAGAGGAGGCAAAACATTGGTGTGCACGGAGTGATCCATACCCATCAAAAATTAAAATCAAGCAATTGAGTATTTCAGAATATCAGCTTTCGTCGAGCATTTCGAATTCAAATAATATTAGTAAACCCAATAAAAATTTCATAAACAATAACAAAAAACTGATAAATGTTTTAAAATCAGTGACAATTTCAGAAACAATAACAATATAAGTAAACCCAATGACATTTTTAGAATCAACATCAATGAGCATTTCATCAACAATAACAGAAAACCCAATGAGGATTTCAGAAAACAATATTAGTAAACCCGGTGAGCATTTCAGAAACAATAAACAATAACAGAGATGCTTGGAAATCAAATAAAAATGGAGAAGTGGATGAATCATGGGAAAATAAATCGAACATGTTGATGAAGCTTAATAGGAGATTCAAAGTGGAGATGGAGGTTCATTTGCCTTATGTGTGGTTGACTGTTCTCAAGTGTGTGTGTGTGTGTGGTGCGATCTAGTTAGAGAAGGAGGTTGACTGCATGGTCACTAGTATGCTTGCATCGTCGCAACTTGTAAGCTCGCAACCTCTCTGATTCAGATCTCGTTTTAGTGGAAGGAACTAAGGAACCCTAAGATTGAATACGATCTCTTTGATCTCTATTTCTCATGCTGATTAAAAGTTTAGAAAGCTAATTATTGCTATTTATTATTATTAATTTTAGTGTTCTAAAAACTCATAATAGCTTCGCCAAGGCGTGTCACGGCTCTAAGCCTCCAAGGCTCGTATCTGACCAACGTCACACCATAAGAAACTTCGCCTTAAGTCACGTATTTATGTCTATAACTATAAATTATATAAAATAATTAGATAATCGTGAAAATGTATATATTTTTATATAAAATTATAGATTATATATAAAATTGTCGTCTTTAGGCGCCTTAAAAAAAGTCATAGCTGATTATGTCTCTTAAAACTTAGGTTTGACATTGTCCTCACGTTAGGTCTTTCATTATTTACCCCCTTTACTAATTTACTGTTATTAGAATAAATTATAAAAATGGTCCCCGTGATTATTTATTTATTTTGAATCAAGTCCTGAGTTTTCAATTTATACACAGGCTGTCCCTATAGTACCTTTTGTCGTTGTCTTCGTCCGCTTCAAATATAAACTTACTATATTACCCTTATCATACCTAACAAGACCACGGGATCAATAGGGCCTCATCTGCGCCAACCATAGGTCAAAAAACTCGAAAATGCAAAAAAATGAAAAATATAATTTGAATGTGCAAATATGCATATTCAAATATGCACATATGCACGCTACAAAAATATTGTTTTTTTTTTATTTTTTGCAATTTTTATGGAGCGAATGATCTAGAAGAGGCCCGAGGGATTGTGTGGTGTTGTTGATTTTGAAAAAATTTAGCATGATTTTTGGTTCTCAAGTTTTCACACAACTTTGAGTTCTTAAAAGAACTCTCTCTCTCTCTCTCTCTATATATATATATATATATATATATATATATATATATATATATATATATATATATATATATATATATAGGTTTTTATCAAGTCTATTGTAAGTTTTGTTTTATAAGAACCGATTAGGTAACCTATAAATCTACACATCCGTCGTTTTTAAAAGTATGGTATACCCAATACTCATCCCCGTCCCTAGTTAACTCGGGGATTTATTCGGTCAACTAGAGTTCGGGTATCGGATATCCATCGGATACAAATATTTTTTTCCATCTCTAGTATGAACTATATTAAAAAAATCAAAACTAGTTCTTAATATAACTAGTTTTAGAACCAGTCGATGGAAATTTGATTTTTTGTACTTTTTTTTTCAAACACATACATAGACATGTATAGCAGTTTTTATTTTGCCTAAAATGATCCTTTCACATCTATATGCTTAACAACTAACTGTATAAAAATGTTGTTTGAGAATGGTGCTCACAGTCACAACAATTAGTGATATTACAATTAATGGTAGGGTCCTTTTGAGTTACACGCAATGACAGAAATAAGCAATAAATGACATGAGAAAATTATAAGGACTTGATTTGTTAAAACTAATAGTATTTAATTAATTAAATAAAATATAAATGTTCTTAAATGTTCTAGAGGATTAAACAAGATAATTAAGCATCCAGATCATTATCAATTATATAGATAATTATTGGGTGACTAGATAATGTGAAGACAAAAGATATCTCGGGGATATGATTTGGACAAGGGTTGATAAATCAAGCCTTGAATGAACAACAACAATGGAGGCTAGTAAAGGTTTACAATCAAGTCTCGAATATATCTAGTCAAGCATTGAAGAATGAACAACCAAGTATTCAATGCAAAAATATTAAGTGAGAAAAATATAAGAGAATGCAAAGAGAATGTTTTTTAGAGAATGAAAGTTCATTCTTGAATTGATAAAGATAGCAAAAGGTGTAGTTCGAATACAATGTGATACTCCTATTTATAGTACCTAGGAGCATAACGGACAAAAGAGACAACAAGGACAAATACAAACTGTAGATCAACTACCTGACAATGTGTTGTGGTTACCCTTGTCTCCTGCAGATGTTACATGGAAATGGACAAAACAATACTAGTCTATAATTTATGACATTCTCTTAATCTTCAGAAACTTGATCACCACAGAAATATCTTCATGTCGGATGAACATGTATCTCGAAAACATATAAACCTCATATAGTCTAAGGATCACTTTATTGTACTACCAATCTCCCCTAAGTGATCTTAACTGTCCGATGTTCATCAAGCTTCACTACCAAAGGCGAACAAATATGCCATTTGCAACCATTCTTTAACTTCCAACCACCAACTCACTTGCTCAATAAACCGCTTCTTGATTTCTTCAGGAACTTGTGATTTGGCAGATCGAGATATGAACTTTTTGAGTACTTGGGTGCTTATCAAGTGTTTATTCCTTACCTTAAAGAACTGATTTCTATCCGGATCCTTCCTATTATAGATGTATCTGAGCTTAGGGTCGCCAATGGGACCAACCGGAAGATTCTCTATTCCATCTAACTTTGTATTGCGGGGATAAAGATTTTTTTATGTTCTGAATAGAGGAGCAAGTTATGCATCTGTTCAGGCGAAATCAGTAGCGTAATCTTTGATTAACATTAGCATCGATTGATATACACCTATAGTGAGATCTGAAGTTTGTTTTTGTTGAAAATGAGCAGCGAGCACAAGAACATCATTGTGATTGATAGTCGGAAAATCTGCATCCGAGATCTTTATCTTCTTCTATGAATTCCGAAGGATGTAGTAGTAGTTTAGTTTGCATTTGAGTCTTAACTTTTTCAATACCTTGAACCCACATCCATCAATCTTGGTGATCCTCCTTTTATACCACACTTCTTTGGTTGACAGTGCATTTGTAGCATAGAAAGTTTGTAAGTGTTCCCTTTCTATTCGGATTTGAATGGCCATATCATCTGATCGATGGAGGCTAGGAAACTTATATAATCTACCATGTGGTAAAAAAGAGAGATCAAGTTGCTCCGAGTCTGAAGTTAGAAGAGAATAACTCACAAACGGTACATAATATGGAAATCATACAAAATCCCTTTTGAGAAGTATGGAGAAATCCCTTTGAATGGATTCATATTTAACTTCCTAGATTGAAGAAATAGACTTTCTTGAACTGTTTGGTCGATTTTTTCATGAGACCAATGCTCGATATGTTCAAGTGTCTTCATTAGGATAATCTTTTCAACTTGTAATCCTTTTCCTTTGTCTTTAATAGGAGATCCTGGAGTTGACACATTGAGGACTTGCTGAGCAACAAGAGTCACTATTACTTCGGAAATTGGTATGACCAATTTCGTGGCAGGAAAATCATCATTTTTTCCATGGGAGTGCCTTCATTGATAGAAATGATGAATGGAGGAGGAATCAGGATTTCCTTTGGTTGTGTTTCTCGGAAGGCATCGACCTTGAGTTGTGTTTTGAGTTTGGCCATTTGGATGCTTCTGTGAGTTGAGGCTGCAAGTGTCGATGGCCAGGTTGACCATTTTGCTTTCTTTTCCTCAGAAAGAGGCTTTCTGAAGGAATTTTGTTCATTGAGAACTTTCATATCATCGTTTTGAGCGTCTTCGTCCGATGATTCATTTCTAAGTATGAACTTATTGTTCCATTTCCACACACTACCCAGTTCTTCTCCCCTTCTTGCATCGGAGGGCCCAACCTTCGATGTAAGCTCCATAGAGTCCTTATGATCACCAAACTTTTCTAAGACTTTTTGAAAATTTACATTGATAACCTTGGTGAGATTATCGTAAGCTTCAACAGTGGGGGCTAGTTTCTTGAGGGTGTCCAGAGTTTCTTCAAAGATCAACACTAAGTGTCCTTAAGTGTCCAAATTAATTCTTTGATCAATACTAATTAATTCTTTGATCAATACTAATTAAATAATATTATTAATATATTAGAACTTTTAATATATTAATAAACCTTAAGTGTCCTTTCTCTCATTTTGGTCTATCCAACTATTGCAATGTCATGTAACCCAAATGGACCATGCCAACCGGGTCAAGTACATACCAGAAATAGTTATAGACTTAGACACCTTATCCAACAGTCTCCCACTTGGATAAGTCTAATAACTATAACTGCAAGTATGACTTCAGGAACCGATCAGCAATCGTAGCTCTTTCAAGGTCTCGCGGAACTGAGATGACGATGATACGCCATTTAAGATAAGTGATCATATAATCCTCTGTTCTAGATATCAGCCGGACAAATACATGGAACAATGTCTTATTGTCCAGCAGTTTGTTTCTCGATTTCCGATTTGTTTGACATAGAACTTAATCAAACACATCAATTTAGTTCTGACCGGGCCCGATACATGGGTCAACACAAAATCATCGAGGGGCCCAGATATCGCTTCTAATCCAAGAAGGAACAGATAAACTTCGACTCATATGCTTGTTCTACTACTTGTTGAATTATACACAAAGGCGTGTTTTATAACATCGAGTTAACAATGCGTTTTCATACAATCAATGTATAACCAACTCATAGGCAACAACTCATATCTCTAGGTTTGAAGACTTATATGATATTACCGTCTCACGATCACTCGACATAAATTCCATGAAGTGATACAAGTGAGTGTGGGTTGAATCCAATACTCATAACTTATGAGCACTCATGAGTGTTGTAGCAACACTTTGCTATGTCCAACATCTTAGACATCTACAACCAACTTCATGACAGTCTTGATTCATATCTACTTCCAACATATGACCGACTGTGGAGAATTTGAATAACATAATTATTCTGGAAGTCAAAACATGCAAAATGAAATGATAGTAAACGATTTGACAAAAGATAGCAACACTTTACTCATAAATAAACAACAACTTTTATTCATCATCAAATGTCAATTACACTTTACACATTTCAAAACTATCTAACTACTAAAACTAATATCATCCTTCAGCCCTATACGCCTCGCATGCTGGAGATGCTTAACCCTACCCAGTCCTTTCGTGAGGGGATCTGCTGGGTTCTCATCCGGTGATACCCTCTTTTCCACGAGGAGTCTTTCTTTTATTCGATGTCTGATGAAATGGTATTTTCTGTCGATGTGTCTGGATCTCTCGTGATCCCTTGGTTCCTTGGCTAAGGCAACTGCACTTTCACTATCACAGAAAATCTCCATAGGCTCCTTTATAGCTGGTACAACCCCAAGGTCTCCAATGAAGTTCTTTAGCCATATAGCCTCCTTTGCTGCCTCGCTTGCCGCTATATACTCTGATATCTGCTGACCATGCTCAATGCAAAGGCCACATCAGGACGAGTACAAGTCATAGCATACATGATTGAGCCTACAGCGGAAGCATACGGTACTCGACTCATCTCAACTATCTCAACGTCTGTACTCGGGCTCTGAGTCTTACTCAATCTGGCGTTACTCTGGATCGGTAACTCTCCTTTCTTGGAATTCTGCATGCTGAACCTATTCAGCACCTTATCCAAGTAGGTACTCTGACTAAGTCCAATTAGTCTTTTACTCCTGTCTCTCAAAATCCTTATCCCTAGGATATAGGCAGCTTCATCAAGGTCCTTCATAGCGAAACACTTCCCAAGCCAGGACTTCACTTCCTGTAGAGTTGGGATGTCATTTCCTATGAGTAGTATGTCATCCACATACAATACCAAAAAGCTAACTATACTCCCACTAGCCTTGATATATACACAGGACTCATCTTCACTCCTCAAAAAGCCAAACTCTTTGACTTTCTCATCGAAACAAAGATTCCATCTGCAAGGTGCTTGTTTTAATCCATAGATGGATTTCTCAAGCTTACACACTCTATTAGGGTACTCTGCACTGAAAAAACCCTCTGGCTGACTCATGTAAACATCTTCAGCCAACTTTCCATTAAGGAAAGCGGTTTTGACATCCATTTGCCATATTTCATAGTCATGAAATGCAGCAATGGCTAGCATAACCCTAATAGACTTAATCTTCGCTACTGGTGAAAAGGTCTCATCATAATCAACTCCCGGAGTTTGAGAAAAGCCCTTTGCAACCAGTCGCGCCTTATAAGTGTGTACATTACCATCCATGTTGGTCTTCTTCTTGAAGATCCATTTGCACCCGACTGTCTTACGACCTGGTACATTGTCAACCAAGTTCCAAACTTGATTGTCATACATGGACTGTATCTCGCTGTCCATAGCCTCTTTCCATTTAGCAGCCTCAGGGCCTGCCATGGCTTCCGTGTAGCTGTTAGGTTCATCCATACTTACCAGTGTGTTATCACTGATAAGTGTATCACCTTCCGCAGTAATATGGAAACCATAGTAATGCTCAGGTACATTCCTAACTCTCGTGGAACACCTCAGAGGTACAAACTCTTCTGTCGGATCAACAGGAGTTTCCTCCTCAGGTTGATTGCTAGGGTTTGAGTTTACTTCACCACTTGACTCTTGAATTTCTTCAAGGTCAATTTGCCTCCCACTGTTTCCTTGGCTTATGAATTCTCTCCCTCGAAAGACTCCTCTCCTCGCTACAAAGACCACATTATCACTGGATTTGTAGAAGAGGAAACCAAAGGATCTCTGTGGGTAGCCGATGAAAATACACCTCTCACTTCGAGGTTTGAGCTTATCATGAGTCTCGCGCCTCACGAAAGCCCCGCAACCTCAAATCTTGATGTGGTCTAGATTAGGAACTTTTCCAGTCCACATCTCATGAGGTGTTTTGGCAACCTTTTTGGGTAGGGACTAGATTAAGGATATGGGCGGCGGTCTCTAAGGCATACCCCCAAAATGAGATTGGTAGCGAAGCTTGACTCATCATGGAACGAACCATATCCAACAAGGTTCGATTGCGCCTCTCGGCCACACCATTCAACTGTGGTGTCCTGGAAGGTGTCAATTGTGAGACAATCCCACATTCCTTAAGATAGTCAAGGAACTCTGTACTAAGATACTCACCACCTTGATCGGATCGAAGCATCTTAATGTTCCTGCCCAACTGATTCTCCACTTCCTTTTTAAACTCCTTGAACTTTTCAAAGGTTTCTGACTTATGCTTGATTAAGTAGACATATCCATATCTACTATAATCATCAGTAAAAGTCACATAGAAGCGGTTATCATCTCTTGTGGCGGTTCTGAAGGGTCCACACACATCAGTGTGTACAAGATCCAACAAACCTTCACCCCTAGCACAAGTACCAGTGAAGGGTGACTTTGTCATTTTCCCAAGCAAACAAGATTCACAACTATCATCTGACTTTAGGTCAAATGACTCCAAGACTCCATCCTTTTGGAGTTGGCTTATGCGTTTCTTGCTTACATGTCCAATATGACATTGCCATAATGATGCTTTATCCAAGCTAGAGGAAGAATCGATACACAACACATTATTTCCTAGGTTATCTACAACCGACATAGTTTCATACACACCATCACAAGGTAATGCTTTAAAATAAAGAACATTATTAAAGAAAGCATTAATACCACTACATTCATTATCAAACGAAAAGGTAAAACCTTGTTTGTACAAACCATGAAAGGAAATAATATTTCTTGCCATTTCAGGCGAGTAACAACATTTATTCAAATCTAATGTTAACCCACTACTTAGCAACAAAGAATAAACTCCAATCTTGGTGACAGGTGTAACTTTCCTATTTCCCATGATCAAGTTTATCTTCCCATGCTCCACATTCTCACGTCTTCTTAGTCCCTGCAAATCACAACATATGTGAATGCCACAACCTATATCAAGGACCCAAGAATTAGAATAGGGTGAGTTATTAGACAATATAGTGTATATACCTGCATGGTTGGGTTTTACTTTCCCATCCTTAACATCTTGCAGGTACTTCAGGCAGTTTCTCTTCCAGTGCGACTTTTCATGGCAATAGAAGCATTCAACCTCTTTAGGATTAGCAGAAGGAGTGACGAAACCTTTCTTGGTTCCACTTGAAGAGGAGCCATCAAGGGACTTTCCCTTGGTACCCTTCGAAGGGCTCTTCCTCTTCTTTCCTTTGCCTTGCCCGATTGCCAAGACAGGGGCCGCGGTAGGAGTAGGAGTAGTAACAACCGAGTTACCTTTAAGACCACTTTCTGCGGTCTTCAAGAGTCCTTGAAGTTTGCTGAGTGTAACTTCCTCCTTGTTCATGTGGTATGTCATGCGGAATTTGTAACAACATAAATTTCCGAAACAATTTTTCATTTTAAAAACATACTTTCATTCATAAGATATCATAGTAATCCAATGTATCACATGTTATCGCAATAAACAAATCCCAAGATCCTCAAAAACATAAATCCTCTCAGTGTGTACGGATCATGCCGGCGCCTTCCCGCGATCCTCGCTAGTACCTGAAACACATAACATAACAACTGTAAGCATAAATGCTTAGTGAGTTCCCCAAAATACAACATGCAACACATACGCCACTCGAGGCTACAATACGACCCTCCGGTCGATGTGTCTCAACGGGACCCTCCAGTCCCGTAGCTCGTTGGACCCTCTGGTCCGGTCATAGCGCGTCGGACCCTTCGGTCCAGTCTGTGTCGTTGGACCCTTCGGTCCAGTCTGTGTCG